GAAAGTCATTTTCTCTGATCAATCCCCTTTTCGATTTTTTGGGACATCTGGAAAACAGCTTGTTGGGAGAAGATGAGGTTAGCGCTACCACCAGTCTGGTCTCATGCCAACTGTAAAGCATCCTGAAACCATTCATGTGTGGGGTTGCTTCTCAGCCAAGGGAGTCGGCTCTCTCACAGTCTGACCTAAAAACACAGCCATGAAAAAAGAATGGTACCAGAATGTCCTCTGAGATCAACTTCTCCCAACCGTCCAAGCGCAGTTTGGTGATGAACAATGCCTTTTCCAGCATGATGGAGCACCTTGCCACAAAGCAAAGGTGATATCTAACTGACTCAGGGAACAAAACATAGAGATTTTGGGTCCATGGCCTGGAAACTCCCCTGATCTTAATCCCACTGAAAACTTGTGTTCAATCAACAAGAGACGGGTGGATAAACGAAAACCTAGGAATTCTGACAAAATGCAAGCATTGATTGTGCAAGAATGGACTGCTATCAGTCAGGATTTGGTCCAGAAGTTGATTGAGAGCAGCCAGGGAGAATTGCAGAGATCCTGAAGAAGAGGAGTCAGCACTGCAAATATTAACTTGCTGCATGAACTCATTCTGTCAATAAAAGCTTTTGTTACTCATAATATGATTGCAATTGTGTTTCTGTATGTGATGACAACATCTGACATGAAAACCAGAGGGCAGGAGATCGGGTGAAAATATAATATTTGTGTCATTGTCAATACTTTTGGCCATGACTGTAGATATCCTGTTTCTGTTTGGTTCCACGTTGTTTTGGTCACTCAAACGATCATATCTTCCCAGGCAAAGTATGGCGATGACCGGGCCGAGCTCGTGTGCCTCTATGAGTAACCACACCAAGGAACGGGTCACCATGGCTAAAGTGACCTTGGAGAACTTCTACAGTAATCTGATCGCTCAGCATGAGGAGCGAGAGATGAGGTAAGAATCAGGCCTTTTAGCTCCGCAAACGTAGCATGTATGAGCAGTCGAGCATTTCTTGTTTAGTTTGACAGTTTTTCTTTTTTTAATGAAGTTGAAAGAAGGAACATGTTTCATCAGGATGTGGGCTATGTCATGATGAAGTTAGGGCAGGGCTGTTTCCTGTTGTGACAGGTTACATCAGTGCACTTTTCTCAATCCTGTTTGGTTTTCGTCTTTAAGAGCTGCAAGGAATTTTTTTCTTAATTAACAAAGCTTAGATCATTGGGGAAATTACACTTTTTAACATTTGGTGTTTTCTTCCTGTGAGCTGACAGTTTTACCTACTGAGATGTTTTGATGTTAAAATAGTTTAAGTTAATGTTGGTGTTTTTAAAGTTGTAGCAGTGCTTTTTCCTGTCCTAAATGTAAGCAAGCCTTTTCCAGGTTGTAAGATCATATGGCAGAGAAGCTCTAATGGATCACTAAAACAGCTTTTAAAACTTGTTGATCATTTAATCTATTATTTGATTATTAAAATGCTGTTTTATTTTAGCTTTTTGGCAGTTTTTCTTTAATAATTGACAGAGAGCAGATCCTCACTCACCAATCTCATTCCCGACCTTGTAAGTTGAGGCTATTATTTAACCAAAGCTCAGTGGAAAAACTCAAACTCCAAACCTCTGTGGAAAAAACAAACAGACCTTTAAACAAACTGTAAAGCGTTGTGTTGGACGGCTGATGGTTTCAGGCTTGTTCTGCAGCCAAAAATCCTAGAATTGTGCATCCAAACCACCTATTTTACCTAAATTTTATTTTCTAATGCCCCACCTTTAGTTGCATTATATTATCCAAAGTATTTGCTCACCCATCCAAGCACCTAGGCATGCAGATTGTTTGTCCAAACATTAGGATCTCAGTGAATTCCAGTGAGATAGAAGTCCACCTGTGCAGTAAAACCAGCTGTGTAATGTCCTCCCCTCTAAATATTTGTGGTTGGGATATGTAACTTGGCCATGAAGAGGTAAGCCAAATAAACAGAGCTCAGTAGATGCTGAGGCCCATGGTGCACAGAGATCTCCAACTTTCTGCAGAGTCGATTGCTATAGAACTTCCAACGTGGGCTTCAGATAAGCATGAACAGAGCTTCAGGGAATGGGTTTCCAAGCCACACAATGAAAGGAGCAAAGCACGGGATGCAGGGATGTAATGCTCTCCACCTCTGGGGTCTAGAACAGTAAAGGCGAGCCTCTAGAAATGAATCACGCTTCCCTATTTGGCAATCCAATAAATTAGTCTGGGTTTGCTGGTAACCAGGAGAAAAGTCTTCCTTTGATTGTGTTCGTTGTGGAGGGGCGGGGGGGGATATGTTGTGTTTTCAGGAGCTGGCCTGACACTTTTACTTCCAGTAAATGTTCAGCATGAAGTTTTTTAACAACTCGATGTTCCCAACTATGTGGTAACAGTTTTTAGAAGGCCTCTTCCAACATGGCTGCACAAAGCAAGGTCTGTAAAAACATGGATGAGGCATTGTGACGTGGGTGACCCTGACCTTTCTGCACAGTCCTGACTTCAACGGAGCATGACCTTTGGGATGATGACCAAGAGACTGGGCTTCTCAGACAACATCAGTGTTTACACATATATACTCAACAAATAGTGCAGGTGAAGTTCCTGCAGATGCGCTTATTAGCCGCTTCCTCAGGCTGCTGCTGTCTTACCGCATGGAGGGTAACTTCTTCCTGAGAAACGTTACTGTCCATTTGCTCACCATATATGAAGGATTTCCAATATGCTAACTTTAATTAATTTTAGAGCGCAGAGGTGTCTGTCTGAAGGGGAGAATTTAACCTCTTAACATCCACCTCATTTTGGGTAATCCTCGCATATTTCACATACCCAAATGGAAAAGCAAATAACTTAGAAACTGTAAGCCCAAATTACATGTGAAATACATTATTAGAAACCTAACACCCTCTAGTTTCCTAGTATATAAATTAAAATTGGGTGACTACAACACAGACCAACCTGCATCAGTTCAAACATGACTTAAAGTTGAGTTTTTTTATTCTCTGAAATGATAGGTCTTTTTTGAACAGCAGTAATAAAGATATTCTTGAGGTAAAAGCAGGTTTTATTGTATTATATTTGTTCTACATCATGTCAACCACAAATGCAGAAAATTTCAGAACTCTAGCCAAAGAGTTGCAGAGCTGTGGGGTATGAAAACTTTTGGTGTTAGCTTGGAGCTGCGCGCAATGGCTCCACCTGCTGGTAAAAATGTTACCGGTGGAATTTTATGCATTCTGAGTTATTACCCCCACTTATGGTTTTAAGAGTTTAAGGACCTTCAGCCATGTATGAACCTAATGGCTACATCAGCTAGAGGGGATGGAGGAGGGGTTATGATGATGATGCTGAGACATTTTATAACTTCTCTGAAATATCTTTATCTGTCTAAAAGTTGCACAGTGTTGCTTTAAAGGGGCAGGGCATTAATGATGAAACAAAGACATAAAAAATGCTCCTTATCAGGGATTGGTTCCTACAGAACATGATTACTGGGATCAGAAATGTTTTCCTGTTGCAGATGAACTCTTAACTTTCTATTTAGTTTCTGTAGTTTAGTTTGGCTTCAAAAAGGATGGGATTTTTTTAAATTAAGAATGTTTAAAGTTAATTGTGGGACCTAATGAGACCGGATGGATTTATCCACTGAAGCTTAAAACCCATAAACTGAAGACAACTTTCTTCTGGTTTTAATGCAACTTTGGACAGGCGAGGATTTCATTTTAGCCATGGCTCTTTTCACCAACACTGATTACAATTGAATGTATTTTCTCTGCAGACAGCAAAAGTTGGAGAAGGTGATGGATCAGGAGGGTCTGGCTGATGAAGAGGTGAGGTCCTACAACAAAGCTTAGCTCGATGCACAGTCAGTGATTCTTTGAGCTGATAGATCAGTGACTGAATCTTGAACAGATGGCAGTGGGGAACTTTAGGATTATAGTGTTGGTTTTGTTGTTTAGTTTGATTCCTGGGGTCCAGTTAAATTTAAAGGGGAACTTCTTTTTTTTTTTTTTTTACATTGGGCCCTTGATTTTATGTTATAAAATTATTTTCCATTTGAGTTTTGTGTCATTTGGAACTGTTACGAAGAGCGCTGCTTTGTTTTTAAAACATATAAATATGTTACATGTTATGGATGCCGGCGTACCATAAAGAATAAATGATGAACAGTTTAGTTTGTGCCTTCAAGTCGTTGCCCATAGGAAGACGTTACTTGGATATAACCTAACGGAATATCTTCAGAACGGCTCCAAATGACACAAAACTCATATGGGTGAGTAGAACATGATGTAATAATGTATAATCAAAGGCCCAATGTAAAAAAAAAAACGAAGTTCCCCTTTAAGCTGTTGTAAAAGTTCCACAGTGACCTTGAACTCAGCGTGCCAGTAACTGCATGAATGTAACCTTTCTAGAAATGCTTCTCTTGTTTTTCAGAAACGTATCCGGCGTTCTGAGCATGCACGGAAGGAAACAGAGTTTCTGCGTTTAAAACGCACTCGGCTGGGCCTGGAGGACTTTGAGTCCTTGAAGGTGATTGGCCGAGGAGCCTTTGGAGAGGTAAACACTACAGGGATGGGGTCCCTGACAGGGATTCAAAGACTAGCTAATATTTACTAGAAAGGTCCCACAATGAGCAAACCAGCATGTAATTACTGAGGCTGCGTTCACACTGCAGGCCTTAATGCTCAATTCCGATTTTTGTGTTGCCGTTCACATTTCCAGTTGTATGCGACTTGTATGTGATCTCCTGTGTGAACTGCATTCATATAGCTTAAGTGTCCCGCATGCGCAGTAGAGGACGCAATGACGTCACAAGTAAAGGCTGATTTCTACTCAGAAAACAGGTCGTCTGCGTGTGCGTCGTAGTGAATGCTAATGTGCTCCCGCGCCTGCCGCAGGCACTCTGCTGCACCTCTCCAAAAATGTAGGTGACTGCAGACTGTGCAGGAGGCAGACAGGAGGCCTCTGATTGGTAAAACATCCGCTCTACACTATGCGTATATTTCCTGTTTGGTACCTTACCTGCTTGCTTTGTTTCTATGACAGCCATTGTGGAAAACGACTCATGAAGTTGGACCAGCTAGAACAGCGAGGTGCGCGAGAACGCTGGGACCCTTTTTCCTCCTGGATCCCCGCTCTTTTTGGCCCTCATGCCCCTCTGTTGTCGCACAAATTTGCCCCCACTTCGTCACCACCTCGGCTGTATCAAGACCCAAGGCTAGGTGGTGATTGTCCATCTTGGGTTGTGGCGTGGAATAACATAGCATAGCGCAGACCGTGCTTCAATATTGGGCATAAATCAAAAATATCTGTGACACGCTCACTGCGACACACTGCTGCGGGAGGATAACATGCCCTTAAGCGTGCTCTGTGTTTATGGAAGTAAACATGGATGGTAGTGAGGGAGAGCATCAAGCGATCTTTCCCTACCTTTAAAACTCAATCTTTTCAAGATGAGATTAAACATAAATACTCTCCACATTATCTTATGCCATGGTTGTTGTTTTTCTTGCCGCTTCTGCGTAGCAAGACGCAGAATAGTGACCTATGTCGGCTACTAATGGCGTTCAGGTCGGACGAATGCGACCTGGCTGTTCAGACACACGTCGCATTTGAAAAGATCAGATGCGTTTCGGATTCAGGGCCAAGTGACCTGGGTTGCATTGGAAAAAATCGGATCTATGTTGTTCAGACTGTCATAAAAAGAACAGATACAGGGCGCATGTGGGGAAAAAATCAGATTTGGTTCAGTTGAGGCTGCTGTGTGAACGATGCCTGAGGCTGATGAGCAGAACTGAAGGGTTTCAGTTTGTCACATGCAGTTCATGTAAACCTGTTCAGGTTTCATGGTTCCCTCCTTGGATCCAAATCGCTGTTAAAATCCCTTCACTGCTGTAAATGTTGAGAACGTTTGTCGTCTGCACTGAATCCTGCTGAGCAGACATGTTTAAGATCAGTCGGGCTCGGCTGCAGCTGCTGTCTTTGCTTTGCATAGATTTTTGTTCTGAATCCTACATTAACGCTTTCAGTGAAATGTCAGCATTAGGGCTCAAATAATGATTAGTTTGCAATCGATTAAACTGTCGATGATTTTTTTTAATGATTAATCCGTTAATAATTGGATAGCCAGAAGTTCCAAAGATTAAAACAGGTGAAACTAATGCTACGTTCAGACCGCAGGCAGCAGAAGAAGAATGACAGCGATATTTGCTGTTATATGTGGCTAAAAAGTAGTTTTAATATGTTTTTAAATGAGAAAGTCCACCTGAAACATTGTCTGTGCAGTCAGTTCATCCAGATCCTGTATTAAAATATTATTTCACCGTTGGAGCTGCTCAGACCCCCGTATACCGACGATGCTCTGTCAATGGGAATCCCGTTTAACAGCAGCCTCCGGCCCAGTCGCCTGTTCGCCGCGGAAGGAGTTTTCCCTGGACGTAATCCAATCTGCAGGCACCAGAGTAATAAAAATCGAACATATTTTGCCTAAAGGCTTTGACATTTTAAGTTTATTTAGGCGTTAATAAACTGTTTCAGAGGAGTGATCATAGCGCTCTGCATCAGCAGTGCTGTCTGTCTCCCTGCCAGCTCCCAGATCAGATTCTCTGATTGGTTGATGCGGCGCTTCAAACAGCAAAAGTTAAATTTGTCCAACTCCAGCAGCTGCTGTTTTTGTAGCGCATCACGCGCCTCAGATGCTCAGATGCTCATGACGCGCTGCAGGACCTTTTGCTGCACCTTGATGCCGGTCAGCCATTAACTTTGCATGTAAACTGGCTGCTTCTGCTGCTTGCAGTCTGAAAGTGGCATAAAACTTTTTCATTTAAGGATTTCTAGATGGAGCGTATCCAGATGGAAAAGTTTTCTTTATCTTAAATGGAAATCTTTTTTTTTGTACAATTTTGGTATAATTACAGTTGCTCTGTCAGCTAAAGGCATATTTTATAGTCTCTACTCCAGTTTAACATTTAATCAATTACCAAATTAGTTGACAATTATTCAATAGTCAAATAACCACGATTAATCCGATGAATTGTTTCAGCACTAGTCGGTATTTTTCTAAAGGTGGATCCTGTGGTCTGAAAGGGCTACAGAGAATTCTTGATCAGTGTGCTTCAGAGGGGAGAATTTCACTTCAAAATAAGAACTAAATCTGTCCTGTTCAATTCAGATACCATGCACTGAATTCAATTACATCAGGTTTATTTATCTTAAACTATGCTTTTTACTTGAATAAAACGATGCTGCCAAGTCAGACTGCACGATATTAGCAGATATAAACATTGGGACACTTACTGCCAGATCAGATAAACTTTAAAAAATGTTTCAATCTGTCGCTAAATGTGACGACTGTCCACACAGTGGATTCATTGTCCTGTCAGGTTTTCATTTAAAAAGGTCACTATGATCTGATGCTCATCTGGCTTCCAGCTGTTTTACTACTTTTATAAATTCAACACTTTTTTTGTGTGTTTAAGGAGAATTGTTGCTCTGATTCCAGGTTCGCTTGGTTCAGAAAAAAGACACCGGACATGTCTATGCCATGAAAATACTCCGTAAAGCTGACATGTTGGAGAAAGAGCAGGTACACACACACACACACACACACACACACACTAACAGAGCTATGCTCCCTGCATGTGTGGGACACATGTGAAACTGTCCTGGTCTGCAGGTGGGTCATATCCGCGCTGAGCGTGACATCCTGGTGGAAGCAGACAGTCTGTGGGTGGTCAAAATGTTCTACAGCTTCCAGGATAAGATGAACCTCTACCTCATCATGGAGTTTCTCCCCGGAGGTAAAACTTTGTCGAAGTTCTTCATGTTTAATGTTGTTCCTAACAAAGTTCTCCCTAGAACCAATAAGAAGAAGTCATGACGAAGACGGTCATCAGTCACAAAACTAAACCAAGGCCTTTAATGTTTTAGTGGTTTCATTTTTTTTTTTATTTCCTAACTCGCTCTGTGTCGTTTTAACTTATCATTAAAGGCACACCATGTAACTTTTTGCCACTAGGGGCGCTAGACCTGTAACTGCCCTAAAATAATAAATATATATGACTGTATACTAGAGATGGAACGGTTTTTGAAAACCGTCCGAACTGTTCGGTTCGACTGTCTCTGTTCGGTTCGCGTGTCTTGCGTTTTTCCTTTAACAGGATCCCTTTCACGTTTTCTCTTTTTAGCCTCAGGAGGTTTTAACTTTTTTTCTTTCCTCATCCATGAGCAGTAGTAGAGCCGGCTGAAAAATAGTAGAGCAAAAGTGTTAGCTCCATGAATATATAGGAGTCTGCGGCCATAAAGCAATACGTTCTTCCAGGTTACGTGACCTGATCAACGACAGTGCGTCTTCTCCGAACTTACATAGTCGGTATTTTAAGACTGTTAAGCGCTGTATATTAGTATTCATTTGACATAACTCTTGTGTCAACTCCGTAGGTCACAAAGATCGCTGTGTGTTTAAATAAAGTTCACTGACACATTAGGCTTGTTTTTACATAGTTGGTTGGGATCATTTTTACCCAGAACCATTTTGCTAACCTTTTTTTGGCCGATCAGCGGTATTTCAAACAAAACGAGTATCACTTAAACATAACAGGAAGAGAATCTTTTTTCTTTTGCAATTTGAAACAGAAAAACCAATGAAGGACTCATAAACGACTTCTTTGACCTGTTCCTGCTGCATTTCTACTAAATATTAATCTATTCTATCAACTGGGAGAAAATCGGTTTATAAAATAAAAATCTTTTTTTAATAACAGCTACCTTTAATTATCTAAAACATTTTTAACTTAAAGCCTTATCTGGCCCCCAAGAACCAAATAAGGCATGTAAAGGTGTAAAGAGAGGCATATGTCATTTTCAAATGAACAAATTGATTTTTAAATTGCTAAATAAGCAGGAGTAAAGTTCTAATACCAGAGCAGTAAGCTTTTTATAGATGAAACAATGAAATCATAGGTTTCATTTTTACAGCTTCAACCGGTGCTTTTTAAAGACCTGAACAGATTGGAGCGACCTGATATAAAAATAACATGATTTAAAACATTATCTTTTTCACTTTGACCTCAACATTTAAAAGAAGACGCCTTCAAACAGAACCTGATTGGTTCTTTAATGCTCCATTTCCACTACCCAATGAAAATCAGTTAACCGTACCGAGCTTGGTTCCTTACGACGGTTTACACATCACGCTAACGTAGTTCCTTGCCTTCTAGTGATGATCTACTGTAGTACTGCTCTCTAGAGGTAAACAAGCAAATCAACATGGCGGCGCCCGAAACATTCAGGAAGTTAGGTTAAAATTGTGATATTTTGTTGTTTGTGGAGAGTCAGGCGAAGAAGGCAGCCTTTGGTGAATTTACTTGACAGTCGGCTTTTGGGAAGTAGATACGACGATAGTTGGGGCTTACAGAAACAGGAAATGATGACAGATGTTGAGGTTCATCACACTGCTAAGCAGAATCATCACTGGAAATCATGCGAAACGGCAGGAAAGCTAGTATTTTTATGAATGCCTGAAATTTTCTGATAGCGGGTGCTGACTGTAAGGAGATGACATGGTCTGCTCATGCGCTCTTTATTATCTGAGAACCAAACCTGAACTGAACCACGCTGAGCTCTACTGATGAACTAGTTCCAGTTTAGCACAGTTCGGTTGTGTCTGACAGCGGGCCGGTTCAGTTGTGCGTACCATTGACACTCAACAGTTACCTCGGTTACCATGCTGGGACCGATCTCGTAACTCTTTCAAAAGAGTAGCGTAAATGGGACTTAAGTGTTGATTAAAGCTGGTTCTGATGTCCCGTCTGCTGCAGGAGACATGATGACTCTACTGATGAAGATGGACACTCTGTCCGAAGAGGCCACTCAGTTCTACATCGCAGAGACGGTGCTGGCCATCGACTCCATCCACCAGCTGGGCTTCATCCACAGAGATATCAAACCTGACAACCTGCTGCTGGACGCCAGAGTGAGTCGGGCTAGAAAGGCCGCAGTTTGGTCCATATACAGCTTCTGTTCACCATAACTTTAGTGAAGATTGATAGTGTCTCAGATAAAATCTCCTGTTGGATAGTGTGTGGTTTGAATTAGGGCCGGGCAAGTTAACGCGTTAATTTCACGTTAATTCTTTAGACTATTAACGCCAACATTGCGCCTTAATGCGTGTTGCTTTTATTTTGTTAAAGTCTGTTGCTAACTGCTGCGTTATATTAGTTTGACTCTGGAACAGTAGGTAGCGATAATGCGCCAAGGACCTGGCTGTCAGGCCGCTGGCGTTTCAGACAGAAGAAGAAGGCAGAGCTGGCTGTTGCAAAACCCGAAAAGGAAAAAGCAAATCGCAGAAAAACCAAAGCAGACATGGAGAAGGGTAAAGCCGGGGTTTTTAAATGGACATTTTCAGTTAGAGTACCTCCAGGCTGCGGATATGATAGAAACAAAGTTATTTGTAACCAATGTCAAGCTGAATTTTCCTATCACCGGAGCAACTGGAGCTTAAACTGTCACAAAAATGCCAAACACACTGTAGACATCTCCAAAAAAATTTTATGAATCTGTGAGTGGAGTGAAGCCTCGGCAGACCACAGTTAATTCAATGTTTGGTAGAACTACTGACAAACAAAAGCAGGAGAAGCTCACCAAGGCTATAGCAAAGTGGATAGCTACACACTGTAGACTGCTTATTGTTGTGGAAAATGTTGGTCTGAAAAAACATTGAGAATCGCAAGAAATGACAGCAGTTATGAAATGCCATTAAGACGCACCATCAGTCGAAGAATAAATGAGGGGACTAAAAGAGCTGCAACTTAACAACATGCGCCTGCAGCTGCTGTCACAGCAGACTACTGGACATCGCTCGTTGGTAATAACTACCTCTGTGTTATTGCACATTATATAGATGAGAAGTGAGGAGTGCTGCATTCACATGCTTGTAATGAAAACAAAAGGGCGGCATTTCGCTGAAATATATGCAGGACATTTCATTGAGGTTACACTTGTGTGGTGTAGCAACTGGCTTAGTAAAGAGGAATAAAAGAAACTCCAGCAAAACATGCACTTTATGTTGTAGTCCCATGTAAAAGAAGGTTTTTTTGTGCTTCAAACTGGTATTGAACATAGTCTTGGCTGGTAAACCCCCCCCCCCCCCCGCGTTAAACAAACTGACCCTCTTGTCCTGATTGTGGCTCTGGATTTTGTTGGTAGAGAATGTCCTGTCAGTGGCAATAAGCTTCAGTTTATATCACTATTATTATGTATTTTAGTTATAATAAAAAAAAAAAAATTAAGTTTAAATTTACACAAAATGTTACTAAAAAGTGCTGATGTTAAAAGTTTGCACAATAAATGTTATTGCACTTTCATTCATATGGCAGAACATTGAAATAAAATTGCCCTTTATGCACATAAAATGCAATTAATCGCGATTAAACAGGCAAATTATACGATTAATTTTAACCTTTGCCCAGCCCTAGTTTTATGTGAATAGAGGTTGTCTATAATTCTGCATCATCAATTTCTCCATCTGGAGGAGATTCCCTGAACTTTTTCTACCTTAAACTGGTCGTCTTCTGCGAACGGCTGCTCTCTCAAGAAAACTTTCCATAATTTTGTGGAATATTGCAATCAATAGATCATTAATTTAGTTTTATTTTAAAGGTAGACACCAAATAGTCTGCAGCTGTTTGACTAAGAAGAAACTCGGTGGTTGTCTCTGTATCCAGCTGAGACCGTTTCACCTTATCGAATGTTTTAACCAGAATTGCACGAGAGTCTATCTACAGACCTGCACTGTGAGGTGTCCTGCACTATCAGAACCGAAAGTTTATTCGGAGCCTTTCAAAGTAAAAGCGTAATAAAATAAAAGCTAGTATATCAGAAATATTTTACATAAATGTTTGTTTCCTGGGCTTCAAAATAGAAATATTGTCATCTATTCATGTATTTAATGATTTCTATATAATCTCTTTCCAGTTGAACTGGATAAAGTTAAAAATCGCAAGAAAATGTCAAAACAAAATTAAAACGGTTGTTTTATAAAGACGTCTCTTATGTGTGTCTGCAAGTATATCATTTTTATTCTTTTTGTATTGTTTGTGTATTAATTTGCCAATGGAGGATGTCTGATTTAACTCTGTGTTCTTAAGGTGAATTACTGAATACCTAGATGCATGACCAAAATAGCCAATAGCTTGTTTATTTATTTATTTATTTTTTTTCCCATGACACTGAAGAAAACGCTAGACACAAACAACCTTTCAAATGTTTATTTTCTTGAAAGCGTTTCCCAGCATGACGTGCAACGTTTGACTTTTGGTTAAGTTCTAGCAGGAATCACATTAAAACATACGTCTGTAAGAGACAGATTATATTGGAATAAGTAAAAGAAACTCGCCCGAAAATTATGATAAAACACGGTTTTCTTGGTCTTTAAGTGGGGAAAAAGGCATATTTGTGAGCACTAGCCTCGCAAAAAAATATGTCTTCTTCTAATAAAATCTGGCAGCGTATACGTGCTCCAAGCTATTCCTGAAGGCTTCGATTCAAATGGAATAAATTTCCATTCCTGATGGTGCAGGAGGCCGCATTATGCAGGTTATCAATGAAGGGTTCTAACCCTGCAGGTCTGCAGGCAAGGCCCTCTGGAATTACAGGACAGGTATGGCTGGAAATATTTCAGGCATTCAGAGTCGGAATGAATGGTATGTAAATCATCAGCAAACACTTTATCTGCATGATGCTGACAGGGATTTTATGGAACCGTCATAAAGAGCAGCTGCTGAATTTGTTGTTTGATTTCAACCTTCCTTATGAATACATTTTTTTTTTTTTTTTTTTGTCTCAGGGTCACGTGAAGCTCTCTGACTTCGGCCTGTGCACAGGACTAAAGAAGGCCCACCGCACAGACTTCTACAAGAACTTGAACCACAGCCTGCCCAGTGACCTCAGTAAGCAAAGTCAGGCACCATTTTTCTTTTATTCAGCCGCCGACGCCGCCGTCTGCATGCATCTGCCGCTTGCTTCCATGCATGCTGCTTGCCTCTCATCAGTTCACAGCCAAAAGCTGCTAATCAGATTCAGGTTTGTTCAGCGGGAAAAATCTAAAATACGCCAGCTTCCAAGGACCAGGGAAGCCTGCGCCTGTTTGATGTTAGCCTCACCAGTGTTTCACACCCGTGGTCCTTAGGGACCCCGGCCTTGCATGTTTCAGCACACCTGATTCAAAGGAGGGCTCTGCAGGACAGGAGTCCCTGAGGAACAGGGTTGGGAACCACTGGCCTAACCCGTAGAACTCGTTAGCTTACTTGATACTGGGCAGCATTGCTCAAGCAGGATGGAGCTGATGGCCTGTTTAAAGCTGTGACATAAGCTTTACCTTCCTCTGCTTAATGCATGGCTGCTTCATTAGCATGTCTGTATAAATGAACATCAGGATTGTTTTTTGTCTGTCACCAATATTATATATTTCACCGATAGGTGGTTCCCCTAAAGGCCTGAACTCACCGGTTGCGTATGACTTTATAGTCGATAGGATTTATTTTTCCATGTCACAATGACTGCGTATAGAGAGGCCCCGACTAGGTAGGGTGGGCAGATTCTTTCCACTTCTGTCTCTGCTATACACAAACAATTTCCCACATCTGACTTGGACATATTACGAAAAGTAAAAAAAAAAAAAAAAGAATAAATAAAAAAATAAACATCGGCGGATTCTATAAAGCAAAGCCCCACTTAACAAGTCTGCGCAGCATCTAAAACCAGAACAGATAGAGAATGTTCGTATATTAAAAACATAATGAGATCCACGTCTAAAGAAAAGAAAAACGCAACAATAAACGCTGCGGGACAGTTTCTATTCTGACTGAGGCAGAGAGGTGACTCTCAGAGAGACGTCTGGGAACTTTATCCAAGTTTTTCTTTTTCTTCATAAAGAGGTGAAAGCAATTCGCCCCACTTCCCTGCTCTGTCTGCTCCTCATTTTTGTTTTTTTGTGAGACCCAAAGAGGATCACTACTATATCCGATTTCTGTCCTCCTGGACTATCATGGGTAAAGTTTTATTTTTTATGTTTCATTTATCGTTTTTGCATGAGTTTGTCCCGCTTACTGTATGTAAACGATGTGCGACTCCAAAACTAACTAAATGTGAAAGTCAAGTGACTTTTTTACTTGCCCAGTATAATGTTTGATAAATATAGTTCCTAATATAAATTTTTGTATATATATCAACATGTTTGTTTTTTAAATGTTTTTTGTACTTC